CATGAATTTGTTTTACATATTGGTGCATAAACAAACTGCTGGAATTTATAAACTTCCCTTCTAAAAAAGATGGTTCTTTTTAGAAGGGAAATACCAACATTTCTGATTCTGTCAAGATATCATGTCTTCTTAAATTACAGAAGTATCCACCAAAATTAAATTCCATCTGAAAAGTCAGATCTGTTTTTTAATTCACATAAAAACAAAAAGATGCTCTTCTAGTCCATGAGATATTATCAGCAGAGCTTTCACTACTAAACATATGGCATTCCTATACTAAACACTTTTAACAAATACAGGTTGACTATGCCTTATATGAATGCTTGAGACCAGAAGGGTTTTGGATTTCAGAATTCTTTGGATTTTGGAACATCTACATTTTACACATAATTGAATATGCACACATAGAGATATCATGGAGACGGGAATCAAGTCTAAACACTGAATTCATTTATGCTTCATATATACCCAATGTATATACCCAGAAGATAATGTTACACAAGATTTTAAATAATTTTGCCCATGAAACTACATTTATGTATATATTGAAAAATCAGGAGATCAAGGTGTCACTATCTCAGCCACCAAAGTGAACAAAACTGGAATATTTTGAATTTCAGAATTTTTGAAAAGGATACTCCACCTATCTAGAATTTTAAAATGATCCTTTCTAGTGGAAGGTGAGGGATTGCCCACCAGAAGCAGAAACCTCACACTTCCTTTTGAAATTCCCTGAACACCCTATAATCCCAGAGATAACTTTCTATAACAGGTGCTGTCTGCTATGCAGGACTAGAGAAAAGAAGGTGAAAAAACATCTGAGTACATTGGCATTGAATACAGAGGTACAATGACATAGTGAGACTTGGAGGCACCTACTTTTTAAATGTAGTTTTAACTGTATTTAATTGTGTGTTAATTCTTGTGCTTCATGACACATAGGATTTCATTTTTTTAATTTTCATATTCATATTTCTATGCATTTGCTCTGGTTTTTTCTTTGTATTGTGCCATGTTAGCTGCCTTGAGTCCCTATATTTGAAGAAAGGCGGGATAAAACTAAACACACACATATACATCAAAATGATAGGAACTTAATAAATATATGCATAGTTAAAACATTCCCCCCACTATACTGCACTTAGTGGTTTGTTGCCAAATTTAAGTAACAAACCATAAGTCATTTCTGGGGGAAATTGTAAGAATCTAGGACACAATGGACAAACTGCAAAAACAAAGGGACAGGGTTTTGCAGCATTTTGTCCATCCCTACTTTACACAGCTAAATCCCACAATTTAAAAAATAGTTTAAATTAGGATTTTGCTTCTTTTCACCTCGTTTATGCGTACTATGGAATGTTTTTTGCTGACTTCATACTGAGTAACAAAGAGTCTTCTGGCATCAAATACCAATAAGTTTTATTTGGAATAATCTTCCATTGGTTGCCTACCACAAAACTTGGTGGTCTTCACCCTATCATGAGTCTGTATTGCTTTCGCTATGAAGACTAGAATGCTTCTGCCCCTCTCTCCTGTCCCAGGCAAAACCAAGCATTGGATTGTGCATGCAGATACTTCAGACTTGTTCTGTAATGTAACAAGATATGCTATCTTTGCAGGATATACATCTAGACTGCAAAGGTTATTCAGCAATTACTTTGTTTAGCCAAGTACCTCTACTGTCTGAGTTTCCAAAAGATATTAGATAGGCAGATGCCAGAGATTTTTCTGATGTAAGAAGACAGACTAGATTGTTCTTGGGAACTTCCCAAGCCTATGATTAATAATGGGTATGCTGTCAAACCGGAGGATAATTACCAACAACTATACAGAACACACAGTTGTTTTACTTCCTAAGAAGCACAAACCAAAGCAATTATCCTTAATCTTTTTAGCATGCTGTTTTTAGCATGCAAGTATTTCAACATTTTGGTAATTGGGTCATAGAAAAGGCATTTTAGCAGATTAAATCATAGAATAGTTTAATTATATTTGTGATATTCAATGTAAAAATCTAGAGCTAATTCTTCAAAGGAAATAACTACAATAGAAAGCTCCAATTTTAAATACCAATGACACAGCCAATGTTTAGCTTACTAGTGTAAATATTCCATACATTTTAACTCACAATTTTCCAAGGAGACGTCTGAAAAATTTTAAAACCTTAAAAATTGTCAATCCCAACCAGAGCAAACATGTCAAATCAATGAGATTTATGTAAATGGTAACATATATTCAGCAACTGGACCTACAAGCAGCAACTAAATTTAGGCCTAAATGTATAGCACACTGTTCTTCTGAAAATATTTTTTTAGAATTATTCATTATTCATATTTATCCAATTTGACATCTGGGCAAAATAATATTAAAAGGATACTACACAGATTTCAAAAGTAAGTCCTCATTAACTTGCTCTATGTGACATTTGTTAACAATCACAAAAGATTCTGAAATCTTGAAGATCTACTTTAAAAATTAACACATCCTTAAGCCTATTTCTTCAATGCATTTAAAGTAATTTTCCACAGTATTTGCTTCCCTATTGAACAAATGCACTACTAATTCAAAAAAAAAAAAAAAGAGAGAGAGAACTAAAAGAAAGTAATATGGTGTTAGGCAGATGTTTTAGGTTTCTAACAGAGGAATACTCTACCTACTCAACAATAAGTTTCACTGACTTCAGTAGAACATACTCTCAAGTAAGCATGTATATTATTACAGCCTAAGCATTTGGATAAGTGCATGCAGGAAAGATAATTAAAAGCATAATGATGTCTCAGCACTTCAGAGAGTTCTTTTATTTCTATCTCCCAAGCTACAGTGTGCCACTATCAGGCTTCTCCACAGTACCAAAGCATGAACTATACTCCCATTCCTTGTCTATGTATGTAGATGTAGAACAAAGCTAGTAATGAACAAAACCAACAAGATTAACATCTCTCAGTGTGCAAATATATTTCAGATATTGCATTGTGCACAGAACTTATATTTATGTTCAGCTGACTATTTCATGGCAGATTTTGTCAAATAATTTTCTTAAAAATCCAGATGACATATATTGTCTCGCATGTGTTTAAAACATTGTATACAAAGAGTAATAGTCATTTATTTATTTATTTGCAACATTTATATCCCACCCTTCTCACCCTGAAGGCAACTCAGGGCAGCTTACATAATTGGCGTTATTCCATGCCCAAACAACAACAACAATTAAAAGCAATTAAACAAAAATTTAAAACAACATTAAACAACATATGTAAAGAATAGATGACAATCGTGCATACATCCAAAGCCAGATAATCAAATAATCATATTCATCAAGCCAGGATCAATTCCAACTGTATTGCACAGATAATTATGCTGGGCCAAATGCTTGCTCCCAAAGACAAGATTTCACTTGTTTGTGAAATGACAGGAGGGAAGGGGCTGATTGAATCCTACTAGGGAGGGAATTCCACAGCCCAGGAGCCATCACTGAGAAGGCCCTGTCTCTCATCCCCACCAGTCATGTCTATGAAGGTGGTGGAACTAAGAACAGGGTCTCCCCAGAAGATCATAACCTCTGTGATGGTTCATAGAGGGAAATGTGTTCAGACAGGTAAGTTGGGCCGGGGCCATTCAGGGCCTTATATGCCAAAGCCAGCACTTTGAATTGTGCTCAGTAGCAAACCTGCAGCCAATGAAGCTGGTGCAACAGGGGAGTCGTGTGCTCCATATATTTTTTATTATTATTATTATTATTATTATTATTATCTTTGTTTGTACCCCGCTAGCATCTCCCGAAGGACTCGATGCGCCTTACAAAGGCCAAGGCCTCAAGAACATAGCATAACAAATACACAACTTAAAGCAAATAAAAAACAATTAAAGCAATATCAAAAACAACAAAAACAACAAAAACAATAATATTAAAACACCAAAACACACTAAAACTGGGGCCGGGCCAAATGTAATGGGTACAGATTAAAAGTGCTGATGTGACAGGTGATATGTCGGATTTTAGGGTAAGTGCAGTGTGCAAGCAATCTTAAAGTCTAATAAAGTGCTTCTGGGACAGGTTGTTGGAGTTTTCCTATTCTGGAAAGGCACATCGGAACAGCCAGGTCTTCAAGTTCTTCCTAAAGACTGCCAACGTAGGGACCTGTCTAATATCTTTGGGGAGGGTGTTCCAGAGTTGGGGGCCACAACAGAAAAGGCCCTGTCTCGCGTCCCCACCAGACGCGCCTGCGACACAGGTGGAATCGCGAGTTAGCAATCTGGCTGCCTCTCCAGTTAGCAATCTGGCTGCCTTACCTTGGATTAGTTGAAGCTTCCAAACAATCTTCAAAGGCAACCCCATGTAGAGCACGTTGCAGTAGTCTATACAAGATGTAACCCGCACATGGACCACCATGGCAAAGTCTGACTTCCCAAGGTACATACATAAAGAACTAGTAACCTCACTGTTGTGAATAAAGATTTGATACCCATGAAATCGCATATTTTTTCATTGTGTTATATTGTCATTCCACATCATAAGAGACCTTGAGACATATCAACGATGAGAAACATACAACCAAAAAATCTGCTCACCCAAACCCTGCAAAATAGAAACCAGCACCTGGTAATTATTCCCATTTCCAAGAGAATGATGCAGACAATTTAAAGGGACAGATCTGAATATTGGCCAGCCGCACCCCCTTCTTTGGTAGCAGCCTAGCTGTTACCTCTAGAACCGGTTGAACCAATGTATTGAAATACACAACCATTCCTTTCTTTCACTGGGGCCACATCCATAGAGCTGAATAAAATCCCACATTATCTGCTCTGAACTGGGATATATGTCAGTGTGGATTCAGATATTCCAGTTCAAAGCAGATTTTGTGGGTTATTCTGCCTTGATGTTCTGGGTTATATGGCTGTGCAGGAGGGCCCTCGAACGAAATAGGTTTTAAACCTGGGTAATCCGGTTTAATTCATGAGCAGATCATGCTGCCGGGTTACACCCACTGGCTACTTACCAGCCGCAGTGCTGAGGAGTAAGGTGGCACTGGCGAAGAGCAGCACCAGCCAAAGGTGCTGCAGCAAGGCAGTCATATTTGGAGGGACCCAGGGAAGGGGGCCTGATGGGCGCGATTTCCCTCGAAAACAAGGCCAACTGGGAGGAACCCTTCCAGCCGCCAGAGAGTCGACAACCTTCCTGGCTTACAATCCAGCCGGGAAGGGCAAAGGCGAGGTCTGGCCAGGAGCCGCCCGAGCTCTTCTGACTCCACGACGCGAATCTGCCTTCATCTTTCAGGGCTTGGCTCTCCTTCACGGGAGGGGGGTCCTCAAACCAGTACGGGGGCTCCTCTCCCCAGATACAGGACCATCCCTGCGAGGCTGGAAAACCCAGATTAAGAATTCCCACGCGTCTTCTTCACAGGATCAATGCCCCGCTTTGGTTTCCAATGAATCATATCCAGAGGGGGATGAAGAGGATGGTTGAAGACTGTCAGGAGAAGCAGCTTCCCTCAAAGCGAGGTTGAAAAAAACGGGGGAAAAACCCCCACACAGGAAAATATATTACAAGGATATTAGCGTGTATCATATATATATATTCTATATATTCTCTCTATATATATATAGTATTACAAGGAGGAGAAAGAGAGGAAGGCGCCTCTGTTTCTTCTGTGAGGGAGGCAACGAGCAAATCAGAGCTGCCCTGTCCTTGGCTTCAACCAGCCCAAAAGAAAGCAAGGCCCATTTTTGGTCCTCCACAGAAAGGCTCCCCTCTTCAGTTGCAAGTCGGGTAAAAAAGGCCTCCTTTTCTTCTTCTTCTCCTTCTTCCCCTCAGCTCAGCAGAGGCCTCTCCCTCACACAGGTCCCAACAGCGCCAGGCCGAGCCTTTCTTTCTTTCCTTCTCCCTCCCTCACAGTCCCGTCGCCTCCTTTCTTCACAGGCTCGCCTTCCTTTTTGGCCGTTTCTCGAGGCGAATAGTGGAGTCTCGCGCAGCCCCCCTCGCGCGCGCGCGCATGCGCCCTCCCTCTCTCTCTCTCCCTCCCCCCGCGCGCGCGCTACCAAAGCTTCTTTTTTTTTCCTCCCTTCCTTTTCAGACCAGACACAAAGGGGAGCCGCGGCGAAACTGGCAGTCTTTCTGTGCCCGGCCCGTGGGCGCCACGAAGCCCCGCCCCCTTCGCCGCCAGCGCCGCCGACGCCTCCCGCTTTGGCCACGCCCCTTTTCCTCCATCCTCGCGCGCCTCCTTCCCTTCCAACTCCTCCCCCTCCCCTCCCCTTTCAGTTCCAGCCTAGAGTGGCGGCACGTAGCGACGCTCTCCTCCCAGTTTTTTTGTTTTCCGCGCCCCTCCCGCACCGCCATGTTGCGAAGAGTTCCACGTTTGCCAGATCGGCGGCCTGGAGGGAAAGTGCGTGGGAAGGGCAGGAGGAGATTTTGTTTTGCCTCCCCTTTGGGGTTTTTTCCCCCCCTCTCCGTGAGAAGGCACCTTCTTCAGCCCTAGGGTGTTAATTGGCTTGAGGGCCTGATTCACATCTCAAGATTGCTTTTTGTAAAAATCTCAAGCATTGTATTTAAGATGTATCCATGCCAGGCATGGGCAAACTTGGGCCATCCCTCCAGGTGTTTTGGACTTCAACTCCCACAATTCCTAACAGCCAGGCATGGGCAAACTTGGGCCATCCCTCCAAGTGTTTTGGACTCCAACTCCCACAATTCGTAACAGCCTACCGGCTGTTAGGAATTGTGGGAGGTGGAGCCAACACTTGGAGGGATGGCCCAAGTTTGCCCATGCCTGATCTAACACTGGAATTAATGCAGTTTTGTTGCTATTATTATTATTATTAAACTTTATTTATACCCCACGACCAGGCATGTAGCGGGGGGAGGGGGCTTGAGGTGCTTCAGCCGCCCCCCCAAATTCTCATGGTGGTCCGCGAGAAGGCCTTACTAATCCTAAACTTACTAATCCCAGCGTACCTGTCCGAACATATATCCCTCTACGTCCCACCTCGGAGTTTAAGATCTTCCGGGGAGGTCCTGCTCTCAGCCCCACCTTTATCACAAGTGAGACTGGTGGGGACGAGGGACACGGCCTTCTCGGTGGTGGCCCCTCGCCTGTGGAATTCACTCCCCAGGGAAATTAGGTCATCAACATCCCTCCTCTCCTTCAGGAGGAAGTTAAAAACTGGATTTGGGACCAGGCCTTCGGGTAAGCTGGCAGATGGACAAAAGACAATGACGACCAGAGTAGGAAAGGACAATGACAATGCTGGATGGATTATGGATTTATAAATCGGCAAACATTGACCACAAAATGATTTTATTGCTGTTATTGTATTGATTTGATTGTTTTAACAAGTAATAACTGTTCATGTTAAATTGTATATTGTATTTTGTGAATTGCTGGGCATTGAATTGTGCCTTTGGTAAGCCGCCCTGAGTCCCCCCTAGGGGGTTGAGAAGGGCGGGGTAGAAGCACTCCAAATAAATAAATAAATAAACGGTTCCAGCCCAGTTTACCTGTCTGAACAGATTCTCCCCTATGAACCATCAAGGTTGCTAAGATCTTCTGGAGGGGCCCTGCTCTCGGTCCCACCACACTCGCAGTCGTGTCTGGTGGGGACGAGAGAAAGGGCCTTCTCGGTGGTGGCCCCTTGGCTGTGGAACTCTTTCCCAATGGAGATTAGATCTGCCCCTTCCCTCCTGATCTTCAGAAAGCTAGTGAAATCCTGGCTCTGGGACATAACATTCTCAGAATGATTGCGGAGTTCAGCAATATCCTAATAACTACTGACCACACTGGCGGATTGAGATGAACATGATTTTATCTTGGCGATTTGGCATTATGTATTTATTTTGTTTGTATTTAACTTATTGTGATGTTATTATGTTTTTAGTTGTATTTGTGTATTGATTTTCTGCTGTTAGCTGGCCTGAGTCCCTCTGTGGAGGTTGAGAAGACTGGGGTTTACAAGTTTTAAATAAATAAATTACTGGTACATTATTTAAACTGTTGTGTTTATTCATATCATGATCTGATCACCATGCTCAATCTATCCCATATGCACGGGGGTATTGGGGTAACGATACAAAAGGTTTGCTAGGGTAGACCCTCTTTCACTCAGACTCAGCCCCCACCCCCCCCACCCCCCCAGGTTGCATAGGACCGTAAATAGAAAGGTTGAAGCAAGACCAATTGGGAGTCAAAAGTACCAACTACAGTGCCATATAAAATCCACATTGCCTCACCTACACTGCCATATAGAATCCAAATTATCTGCTTTGAACTGGATTATGAGTGTAGACTCATAATCTAGTTCAAAACAGATAATGTTGACTATTTGCTTTGTTAACCTGGATTATATAACAGTGTAGAAAGGGCCTAGGTTGGCTAGTATTGTATGCCTGTAGGTCATTTCTGATCTATGGTAACCCTACAGTCAATGTATCATAAGGTTTTCTTGCCAAGATTTGTTCAGAGGTGATTTGCCTTTTCCTCCCACTGAAGCTGAGAGAATGTGATATACCCAAAGTCATCTATTGGATGTCCATGACTGAATGGGGCTTTGAATCCTGGTCTCCAGAGTCATAATCAAACATCCAATCCACTACACTGGAGCTGTATACAATGATAGCAACTAAAGCTGAGAGTTACTGGCTTGAAGTCATTCGGTTAAATCACATTTAAGCAGAAGTTTTCCAGTTCAAACCATCAGCTGCGTTTTTACAACTAGCTGTGTGTTCGCGGGGCTCCCATGTCCTTTATAGAAGTGTTTGCTGCATCCTAATGTATTATACAACCTATATATTATAATGTATATACAGGGGAGTGTTACCCTTTTAAAATAACATCTTCAAAGAAATAGGGTAAGTCCAATGCATTATGCAACCAACCTTAATATTCAGAGTTTCATTACGAAAATGAGTTAACAAGCCCATAGGGTGAGATTGCTCCAACAAATTATCCATTCGCTCCCTGCATTATGTTTGCAACCATGCTGACCTGCCTGTGATTTATTTCATCATGTCAACATACTGGTATGCGTTGTTTGCAAAGATGCTTAATAGTTGGCATCTGCCAATCTTTTCTCCTTTCATCAAGTCACTTTGGAGCGTCTTCCAAAACCAGATTTTCCTTATCTCTGTTTCTGTTGCAGACTGTGAGTTTCTGCCTTCAGCTCTTTCCCCCAAATGTCTTTTCCTAGACCTTTGACTTCTTAAAAGTACCGGGAGATGCAGAGGGTGGAAGAGTCACCGGAAATCAACCCCTGATCCACCTCTGGGAGTATTATGAGCAGAATATTGCACTAAGGAACGTTCCCACCAATCTAATTAAAAACATAGTTTGCCTAAAGGCAGAAAAGAGAGTTGAAAAAGAATTCTGGATTAATATCTGTTCAGATACAAGGCATAGCAAAGTAGTTATGTTGTCAATTAGCATCAAGTCAACGTTGACTTATAGTAACACTACAAATGTGAGACCTCCAAGCCTCCCTGTCATCAACAATGCTGTTTGGGTCTTGTAGACTCAGGGTTGATTGAGGGAGCATCTATACCGTAGAATGACTGCCATTTGAGATTATTTTAACTGCCATGACTCAAAGCAGTGGAACAAGGTTTTTCACCATCTCTTGCAAAAAGTGCAGGTGTCTCCCCAGATTACAACTCCTGTGATTCCATAACATGGAACTACAGTAATTCTACTGTGTAGTTGCAGACTGAGTCCGTCCATCTCAAGTGTGATCTTCTAACAGTATGCTCACCAGTAGGCTTATGTAATTTGGTTGGAGGGCGATCCCTTTTGGTATCCAAATTTTGTTGGGTTCCCAGATCTGTTTTCGAGAACCTCCTGAAAGTCAGCTAATGGAAAAAACTGTTTTTGGCTAAGCAGCCGAAAGATCCAGGAAGATCCAGCTCATTGGTGGGAATGGGTAAATTACGAATCTCCCCTTTCCGTTCCTGGGATCCATTCCTTTCTTCCTTTCAAACGGGCCTGGGTTTGAGGAACAGGGTTAAGGAAGCACCCCTTCTGGGACCCTTTTCTTCCTTCCTTTTGATGGAGCCTGGGTTTGAGGAATAGGGTGAAGGAAGCATGTGCTGCATGCTCCCAAATAGAGGGGAAGAAGCTGCTTCTGGCAAACATGGGCCTTTTCGGCCAAAAAAACCTTGGTGGCTGATCCCTTACCATTACGACCAAGCTGAATTGGCCGAAGGGAAATGACCAAACCGAATCAATGCACAAGCCTACTCATTAGCTATATACACACACGCATACATACACATCTATACATATACATATGTATACATGTATTAATTGTTCAGAAACTAAAATGCTTCAAATTACTACAGAATTGATGTTTATATATCAGTGATTCATTTCTGAGCAGAAGACACCATATCCTTACCCAGCTCATCTTCTAAAGTGCAATATGGAAAAGCTTGGGCCAGAATTCTGTTGTTGCGCTATGCCATGGTATGTCTGTGTTAATGCAGACAATTGTGCCAATCAGAAGAAAGCAATGGACCCAGCAGTTTATTTATTTACCATATTTATATACCCCCTTTCTCAGCCCGAAGGCAACTTCAAAGCAGATTACAGTTAGGCGGTTTAGACTGATCAGGAATTTGTGGGATCACCACTTAGAGCACTGAAGATTTTGGAAGTACATCTCACATTGTGGTACATGCACAGTTGCAGCATAGTTTGTTACAATAGAATCAACCCCTTTGAAGCATACTCTGGTTAGGCTTTAATTTGGGAAGGGGAGGGCCCTTTCACTCAGCCATATAACCCAGAATGTTGTTGTTGTTCATTCGTTCAGTCGTCTCCGACTCTTCGTGACCTCATGGACCAGCCCACGCCAGAGCTCCCTGTCGGCCGTCACCACCCCCAGCTCCTTCAAGGTCAGTCCAGTCACTTCGAGGATGCCATCTGTCCATCTTGCCCTTGGTCGGCCCCTCTTCCTTTTGCCTTCCACTTTCCCCAGCATAATTGTCTTCTCTAGGCTTTGCTGTCACCTCATGATGTGGCCAAAATACTTCAACTTTGTCTCTAGTATCCTTCCCTCCAATGAGCAGCCGGGCTTTATTTATTTATTAAATAACCCAGAATATCAAGGCATAAATTTAAACTTTTATATCCCGATCTACTCAACTACCGTAGAGGGACTCAGACCAGCTGAGGCGCAGGAGCAG